AAACGCAATAAAGTTGATAAATCAAATGCCACTAGATAACACATAAGCACATCGTCACGCAAAGAGAAGAACGAAAGTACAGACCATTGTGCTTCACAAAGCATAGCCTCACATCCTGCAATGTTTCCTTATTCCTTTGAAGAAGCGGAATCGCCTCCTCGACACGACATGTCGACCAAACACTGGCACTCTCCAAATCCAGACATTCCAGCGTCCCCACGATGTTAACCCCCAACCAGCGCACGAGATCATTATTCCACCCGACCACACGCAGGGCGCGTAAGCACGGCGTCGCCAGTTTGAGGTCGTGCAACCCAGACAGCGATGCAACCGGTATATCCATTCCACCCGATGCAAGCTCAATACTGAGTTCAGCGAGGCGCGGGAAAGAGCCGGAAAGCGCGCGCATGAAGCTCGTAATGTCCTGGTACGATGCGCAGATCACTTTAAGACGGGCAAGATCCGGGAAGTACTGGGCGAAGAGTCCAACGAGCGGTGGCTCATTCTCGACCACCCCCGAGCAAAGCATGACATGCTTGGCTTTCAGGACGTGGAGCAACTTGTTGTAGGACCGCGCATGGGGAGATTTGCCGTTCGCGAGGATGTCGTCAAAGGGTATGTCGCCGACGAGCGTAATGCCGGTTATAGACGAGGAAAGCGTCTCACGCGATGAGCGTAAGAGCTTTGTGAGCTCCTTGGCACGGGATAGGGATGAGACGACAAGAGCGAGAGACGGGAGATGGTACCGGCTAATGCTGGTCCAGGTGGGGTGGACAAGTGCAAAGGATAAGAGGGTGGCCTTGTCGTCGGCAAGAAAGAAAATGACAAGGTCAAGAAGCTCCTGCGGTACAAGCCCGAATGGGCCGGTACAAGCAGAGCAGCGGCGAGAGTGGGATAGCTTGGCTAAGATGTTTGGGATGGTGTTGAATGCCATGATGTACGTGGATGAAGGAGGGAACAGTCGAAGGCGCTCCGTATAAACAAAACTTTTGGAAAGGGGTCATGTGCGCACAGTCTCCAGAACGTCATTGCGACATTTTGAGACTTGAAAAGTCGTACCCCCGAGACGTCCGGCACGCTGAACCAAAGACGACATTTAGAAACAATACATCCCGACGAAAAGAGCTCCTACCATCAGCAACACGAAAAATCCGAGACGCGTGCATTTCCAATAACATCGGCACCTCTGGTCCACTACTTTTGTTTCTCTGCGATGATATCGTGTAGTGCGTCCAATCTCCTTCGTCCAAAGGAGACGACCAAAGCACTGGGGCACGAGGGGAGCACCTGGTCTTTCGATATCGAGGAGCCCGACGGTTTTGTAGACCGGATGAACCGCGTCAAGCTGGCGGCCGTGAACGCAGTCGAGGCCGACCACATATGGAATTGGTCGCACGATATTGGCGGCAGTCCATTCCCATCCTGTAGCGCGCGAAAATCTATGCGATTCATTGTGGGCGGAACGCGGAGTCAGGTTTGCGATGGTGGATGCGAACCAGCCCGCGACGACATGTACGTCCTTAGTCGTAGCATGAAAACGCTGCAGTCAGTTTGAGCACTATCACGAAAGTGGAATGCGTACGACACACCTCGAAGCGCGGAATCGATTCTGCTCTACGGGCCGCATATTGGTATTCGGTAGCGCGCGCCAGAGCCAGCACGACTAATGGCGTCGAAGCATCGCGGCAGGGGCAGCTAAGCGGACAGCAGGGATAGCGCGACGGAAAGCCAAGTTGAGGGCCTGTCCCACCCAATGATTGGCAAGAATGACGATAGTCGACTGGCTGTCAACCGCTTGACACTGTCCGTAACGGCGATGGTGGTTGAGCATGGCGGGAGCGACGTCGCGATAGACATTGGTGGTGGTCGTAAAGAAAGAAATAGGCTGAAAATAGGCCCTGGATCATCATCCTATTTAGGCAATCAACTTCCAACTCGCTTGATTTCATCATTATTGGGAGGTTTCTCTGCATTCTAACACGCCATGCTTCCGTTCCGTACAAAGTAGTCGATGAAGGCAATGTGGAGGATGACAAGATCCTTGTCAGCTTATGGACATCTAGGCTCTGGTGTACGTCTTTTCCCGAAAGCCGGTGGCATTGGTCGGAACCCCTGAATCACAAATATATGCCCCATGGCTGAGTTGGTTACAGCGTCCGACTGTTAGGCTGGCAATCGGAAGGTCGTGAGTTCGAGCCTCACTGGGGCAGTTGTCATTGAGTGTGTAACATCTTTTTGTTTTGCGCCACACTTTGCTAGCCTATGCCCGTGGCCTTCTAAGTTCCATTTATCATTTATGATTTGTCAAACCTTTAGGGTGGCGCAGTAAACCTCCGGGGGGTGTTAGTAACGGTATTGATACCGACCCCCCAGGAGGCCGTGGTTTTGAAACCGTTAGTAACGGTTTCGATACCGGCACGTGCTTTTACCACGTGATGTGGCGCACCGCTCCGCCGCCCTCCGCCCGCCCTTATCCCGCCACTTTCAGCTTGCCTGAGTGCCAGTGCGCCATCACGTGAATTTGTCACGTGTCGGTATCGAAACTGTACCGATACCTCGGCCGAGGTTTCGATACCGTATTGATACCGTTAAAAACTGCAGTAAACCCGAGGTGTATCAAAACCTAGGGTTTACTGCACCACCCTACAAACCTTAGATTGTGCAGCTCTCTGTCTCTTTTGGCGAGTAATCCCAAAGTAATCCAGCCACATTATGGTAGCTACTCATACTCATACTTGATCTGAAGCTAATGTGAGAGTAGTGTAGAACCTGTTCTCATAGACAGTAACCGACTACACTCGCTACTGCTCCAGAGGTACTAAGTATTATGTAGAGTTGCAGCGTCTAGGCAGGATGAGATGTCCTCTCTCTCCATGCGCACTCATGTTGGTATGCACGTGTTTGGTTGCGGCTTCGATCGTGTTTGGTCTGTGCCCTATTGTCTTTGTTCTTTGTCTATTACAACCACTATCACTACTGCGTTTTTCTTGGATTTTCTCATCATTCTATCCCCACTTTGAGCATCCATCTGGAAGAAAAGCCGTCTGCGAATCTTGATTTAGCACGGTCGCAAACTTGAACATGGCGGCCACGCGCAGCAAAACGCGCGGTAGACCCAAGAAGGCTCAGCCTGCCAATCCATCTAAACCACGCGTGTCGTTCGCCTGTGATACGCCCTCTGCCGCTGCTCACACCTCAAATCTATTGGCTACCACGCCAGACAAGAAATTGTCACCCGCATCATACATGCGCGTACTCTACGAGCGTCGCGACGCGCTGCGGGAGTGTGCATTGGGGGACGGCGACTCGGAGACGTCGAGTCAAGCCAAAGGGAAAGGCAGCGCTGACGGCTTGAGCAGCGGAGACAGAGCATCCCAATTACGCACGCGGGTGCGCGGTGCGATGCAAGAGGCGGACCCGTGGAGTGAGCTGGGACGCGTCTTAAAGTTGCAGAGCACCCTTGGCGGGAAGAGGTGTGTTACCCCTTCTTATATGACACACGCCATCTCACCGTCAACTTGTAGATACATCGGCACATCTCTCACCACCGCTGAGCCCATCCCACTCCCCGAGCCATATGCCGACGCGTTTCCAGAGACAGAGGAAGAGTGGGATGACCTCCGGCAAAAGACTGCGGTGGTGGAAAAGGTACGGGGATGGGTGAAGAGCGTGGAGAACAGTGTTGAAGAGCCTACGAGTCCGCTGAAAGGGAAGCGGAAGAGGAATAGCGCCGGCGCGAGTCCTGCCAGGAAGAAGCGGAAGGAGGAGGCGGTGGTGGTTGTGAGTGGAAAGGGCGGATACGACCCCAAGGATCCGTCCCCGCTGGGGTTCGTCGTGGCGAAGAAAGTCCCTGTCCAGGCGAAGCCTAGAGTCCTCGTCCCGAGTTCTTCGCCTCCTAGGCCTCCACCCAGTTCGTCTCCCGCTCCTCCTGGGGACGAGGAGATGGAATCTCCCCCACCGCATCGCCCCTCGATATCATCTGTGCCCGAAGACGCGTTCTTCCCGCCGTCGTTCCCCTCGCATCTCGTTACGTCCACACCGCCGCAGACTCGTTTGCGTGCGAGGCCTGTGGAGGAGCCATCTGAGGACGTACTCAGAAAGGATGTCGCGAGTAAACCGCTGTCCACGGCGAAAGACCCAATTTCCGCACCAAAGCCGCTCTCCTCTGCCAACCTCGCCCTTCACCTCGACTCTTCCTCCGCCTCCAAGCTGTACCTCGACATCGACCTCGAATCGCCCACAAAGTCGCTCTCGTCCATCGCTGGAGACGACGATGACGAAGAGGACGATGAGATTCTCCTCGGTGCAGCAGGATTAGCTGACGAAGAGGCGCCGGGGCTGCAGTTTGACCTGCAAAGTGAGGTGGATGATCTGGAGGGCTTTTTGGAGAGGGATGTTAGCATGTATGGGGATGAGGACGGAGACGAGGCTCCCGGTGTGCAGAAGAGCAAGTACTGGCTAGAGCACAATGAGGAGGTGGAGGAGCATGACGATGAAGGGAAAGACGAGGACGCGGCGTTTGGGAAGTGGTTCAATCTTCCCAGGAATAGTGCCAGTACGAGTGGAAGTGGTGGCGGGGGCTGGTTCGGGAGGCGATGACACGTCTTTTCGGGACGTGACGATGAATCTTAATGTTGATCTGTTATGATTTCTTGCTTGAATTTTGTCGTTGTTGTTGTTCTCACACACATTGTACATACCCATTACGTTTTCTGTCGTAGTATCTCTCATAAATGTATCGTTCACAAACTTTGCTATGTTCTCTTTTTTAAGACCCTGCTAGACGAAGGGAGGGCCACACATGGCGCAAATCTCTGGAGGGTGGATCTGACTGATATCATTGGCTCAAGGGCAAAGTCAGGCATCTATGATTTCGGCTGACTATTTCTGTAGCTCTCGGATGTGGCAAGTTATTATTCATTATTCATAAAAATAAAGACTATTGTTATTGCTGTGGCGTACACGGAGAGTGAAAAATGTTGGTTCAAGGAGGAGTCGGATGCATTAAGGGGGAATCGAACCCCCTGCGGGTCGACGAAACCCTCATCCAGCTAGATGGCAACGACCCAGGTTACCACTACCCCATTAATGCATAATGCTAGCACACACTGTTCCTTCAATTTCACTTCTGAAGGGTCGTTCCATTTTGCTTTTCAACGGAATGCAGCTCTTTACTGCGTTCACTGACCCGTGATCCGCCTCGCGTCGATGCTTGGATGAGACGCGTGTACGTTCTCGTGTTCCCATCTTTTTAACGCGTAGCACTTTGTTTTCTGCCCACCAGCCGTGACGCTGATCTGAAAACTCGATTCACCGGCGCATCTTCCGAGGCGCACCGTGCGCGTTCTTCTCATTCCCCCGCACATTTCAGACACGCGTTCCGATCAGGCAGTGGCGTCGCGTCGCGATCAGATCAACGATCGGATTCAAGTTGGTCGCTGAGACATTTCAATTCTCCAAGGTTCAGTGAACTGCATGATGTTTCCTTCGTGCCCCGCCTGTTCCTTCCTCCTCAACAGTATTAGAGTCAAGAATACCTTCCGACACAAAAACCATCCTTCCCATGCCCCATGGCTGAGTTGGTTACAGCGTCCGACTGTTATATGATATGAGGGTGTACAATCGGAAGGTCGTGAGTTCGAGCCTCACTGGGGCAGCTAGGTCCGGTCTAAATTTCTTTTCTTTCAATTCGAGAATTGCGCCACACTTCAATGATCGGAATCTTCAATCCTTCCTTTTGATCTTGTTTCTTATTCTTTTACTTTCTAGTTCGTCATTTTGGAAAAGACTCGTATCCAAGCACTCCCAGCTGAGATTTGACTTGGCTTGTGGTATGCATTAATGGGGTAGTGGTAACCTGGGCCGTTGCCATTCAAGTCGCATCCGTGGGTTCGTATCCGTGGGTTCGACCCGCCGGGGGTTCAATTCCCCCTTAATGCAGTTGATTTCTGCGCTTAAAGGACATCTCTTTTTCACTTTGTCAGTGTAAATTGCGCCACAGACGTCCAAAGTCAAGTAACAAGTTAGTCAACACTGAACAGTAAACTTGGTCCTGTCAAGACCCTCCAAGTTCTTTTTCATGCTGAAGGGAACTACTTATGTGCCTCAAAGGAAATGGATGCCCGATGCCAGAGCCACTTCCGCAATCTCTAACCGCTTCTATGATGATGTAGCTTGAGCCTTTAACGTGGATTGCAAAACCATGGGGCGAGTACATCGACATCTCACTAAGTACTACATCCACCTCCAACTGAAATATACAATCTTCACGGCTTCAAATCATACGCGGCCCGCTTTATCAAGGGCGTAATTTGCCACCCTTTGGATTCCTCTATCTTAACTTCGCCGTTCGTCCTCTTACACGTACGCCAATACGTGTTCGTGATGATGAGCTCTAAGATCTACAAATCATACGTGTTAGTGTTTCACGGCGGTAGGGAGGTTGACATACGAGCACGGGATACTGCTTCCTCCAATGATGGAACACTCTTGGGGGCGAGATTCGTAGTCGTCATTTAACACTCCGGTAAATCCGCTGCCACAGTGCGAGGAAGCATCTCGACCCGAGCCAGGACTGTAAGATTATCATGAACACATTGACAGACCGCTGAACAAAGTCGTTCCAATAATGGCGCGTCGCGACATCCGTATACTCTTCCAATCCCAAGTATGACCCTGGTAGACGTATGAAGTGCCTCTCTGCGTAACCTCGAGCATGGCGAGGAAGCGCGTCGGGAGTGGTCGTGGTTCTCGGCTATCAAGAATCATCTTATTAACGCTTGTATAAACGAAAAGAAAACCGGCTTGCTGTGAACACTGTACTCGCGAGTCCAGGAAATGCATTGTCAGGCAAGTGCATCGTGTGGAGGAATGCGGAGGCTGCGAGGTAATCAACATCGGAGTTGGATGCGTTGAATAGATGAGACAGCGCACGTATTCCAAAATCCCTCTCCGCTGCCATCGTCGCGCCCGGTCCAGTTGGAATACTCGAGTCTGAGGTTGGCGTCGTCGCGTCTGGCCCGTCAGTTCGAATTGGAACACCATATCAAGCTCTTCGCTTTCCGGCAGAACGTAGCGCGCGAAAATGTAGAGTTAAAAGAAGAGCGTACGTGATAACATCTTCTCACGCATGTCCTTTATATACCGGGGCCATTGACATAAAACACGTCGCCATCTTCGTCCTTATCACGCGTCGGGGCGTGCCTCGACTTTGATGACGTTCATCTTGTATTCATTGCAGCCCCGGTCCAAGTTGTCCGAGTTGAGATTGCAATGTACAGGTGTAGGCAGCCTTCGTCGTACGAGCCTATGTGTGTTGTCAACAGACATATGGGAAGCATGGTAGATGAAGACTGGCCTTCAACTGATTTCCAATTGTAAGGCGTGGTTGCTAGATGTACTAGTCTAGGGAGCCAGTGGTTTAGGCGCGCCAACTTTGGGGAGGATGTTGATAACGACCTTCCATATTCATCGCAACCGATTGGGATGTTCAAGCATCGTCATACCAGTGTCTAACTCCATCAGCTCAATCTGGAACACCGTGCCCTTGGTCTCCATGGGCAAGCGAGTTCGTCTAGGGGGTGCGTACGAGACGTTTTGTCGATAGTCGATTGATTATGATCTATAGCATCTTTTTAACGTCCGAAACGCGTGAGGTCCCCACACGGACGGTTGTCCTAGTTGAGACGACGGCTTGGAGCAGCATTCGTCCGTGGCCTCGGCGTGCAGCCTGTGCGCGTCGCAGAAGGGAAATACGGGGAAGAAATGCGACCGTACCCACTGGACTGAACTGAAGCACGTCACATCCACGGCCAAAATCGAGGTTGGAGTTGGGGTCACCTTAATCTGTACATGTGTCGCTACTTCTACTGGGCATTCAAGTCAGGACGCAGGATGAAGCGCTGAATCCTGTGATAATATCGGCTGCATTGCCGAGGCGTATCGGGAAATTCTGAGGCTTGGGGGGCAGCTAAAACACGGCGACGCGTCAGTTTATGTATCCAAAGCACCGCAACTTTTGACGAACCTCACAAGAGGCCTGCGACCAATGAAACGCAATACGAACCCAAGCGACGCGAGTATGATGACGATTGGTGGTCATAGGAGGCAATTACCATATTGGTCGATCATAAACGGGTTTCTTCCAAACCACCATCTTCAGCGGCGTCATTGGGCTCTCCGACGCGCCACTAAGGTCGTCTACCAGTGCGAGAATCTTTGACATCTCATAGGTCATCTAGGTGCGTATTGACGCCTTCAAAAACACGTCCTTACCATTTCCTGTAGTACGCAAATTTCCTGCTGTTCGAGTCAGTCTGCGTCCGGGATGCAGCAGATTGCGTCCCAATGTGCCAGTTGTGGTGCTTTCACCAGACGGAGTCTTCACCATGAAGAAGAATATCAGAGCTCCGTGCTCGAGCGGCTCCGTACCACGAATTTCCCACCGACGGACGAGGAGATCTCGCACGCCCGACACACCATTTTGCCCACTGTCTCCGACGACATATCATCCATCGAATCCAAACTCGCATCTCTTCATGAGGTCATCACGTCGATGGAGGAAGAGCGGGAGAGGTTGAAAAACGTCCAGAGGCGGTACAGCAACCTCATTTCCTTGCATCGCACGCTCCCCTTGGAAATCTTGTCGGAAATCTTTCTATACACACTTCCTGGCGACTACGATTCGAACGCATTTGACGCGTCTGGGTCCATATGGCAGCTCAGCCACGTTTGCCAGAGATGGCGAAACGTCGCTTTATCCCTTCATTCATGTTGGTCGACTATGGATCTTCATTTTCCGAAAGCGGCGCATCACGAAGGAGATGTGCAGCGCTTGGAGACAGTTATTCAGCGTTCCCGTCAGGGTCCGCTGCACGTATCTCTAGAATCAGGCTATAGTCAGAAACCCAGCTCTGATCCCTCTATCCTAAAGTGCATCCTCGACATCGTCCTGGCAGAATCGTACCGGTGGCGAAAGTTACATCTCTCAGAAAGCGAAGGGCGTTTGAATATGCTCTACGCTCCGCTTCATAATCGGCTTCCTCGTCTTCAGTGTCTAAGCCTTGATCGTGTTCAGATAGAGCCGAAGGAGCAATCAGTTTTCAAAGATTGTCCCCATCTTACCAGATTTTGACTCTTGGTGGAAGCCGGCCGGTGGTCGAATTAATATTTCCGTGGGCCCAGATTACGGAGCTAGACCTTTCTGATATGGATGCCGAAGGCGACGAGGACGACCTCAGGGCATGTATGCGTTTGATTGAACTGTGTACATCTCTTGAGACCCTCTCTTTACCTTACTGGTACTTGGAAGACGACGAGGCCGAATCACCCTACACCCCGACCACCTGCTCAAATGTGCGCAAGCTCGATACCAAGTCGGTGCGCGTCATGGATGCTCTCACGCTTCCTCGTCTACGGGAGGCTTCCCTTGATCCTAACCCTTGCATGGGTCACTACGATGCCCTGTATTTATTTAAACAACTCCTCATTCGTTCCAATGCTTTGAGTGCTCTCACCAGCCTTTCGCTTGAGAGTGTGCCACTTGCTGCGTCACCGGACCGTACCCTCCATTCTATCCTTTCCCAGACACATAGCCTCGCCTTCCTCAACCTGGATGTATTCATGCAGGAATTTGATGAACAAACGGATGTTAACGACGAGGAACAAATAGTGACGATCCTGGAATCCCTCGAGGTCATACCGGCGAAAACTGTCACCTTTCTCCCCCTCCTTTCGTCTCTGGACATTCGAGTGACCAATCATCGTAACTCGTATTACCTAACGTGTTTTGGGCCGCTTGGCAGTTTTGCTTCCATGATCAAGGCGCGCTGGAAAGGGGACGATATGGTAGGACTAGCAAGGCTTAGGACATGCCACTTTGCTGTGGAGGCACACCATCTGAGCGACGGCATATATCGGGACGCTGTGACTTTCGTCCCGCATATCTTCAGTGAAGCCGAAAGGCTTATATTCGACGCACTGGTTGACGATGGGATGGACCTCGCTATACGGGTCTCGTCGGATTTGACTGAAAACGTCAGAGGCAATAGAGTGATTTTCGCAGTTTCGAGATGACTTGTGTGTTTCGGGAACTTGGCTGCGCTCATTGAAGGTAGAGATCTCATAATATTGAACGACTTTTTCTGAATTCGTGTATTACAGCAGTATTTCTATGTCCTCAAGAGGTCCTGCAGCTTGGACATGCACGGGCAACGGGGGACCTGTTCCTTGTGTAATGTTTGCCGTATTATGACGGATACCGTGTTCGTTTCATAGATTGTCGCCTCGAGCTTAAATTGCAATCCAATGTAACGAAGCATCTTCGACGACCGACCAGAGGACTGGCAGCTTTGTATATAGAGACGAGCGCATTTCTGCCCTATGAATCCACTTATCAATCATGTCACCCTCTACCAAAGTCTACCTCCAACGGTGGCATCGGTACGCGGCGGCTCCTAGTATCCGTGACCCAACATCTTCTCAGGTCTCGCTCTAGTAAACGAATTCGCATCAAAAAACGCTGACAAGGACATCGCCGTCCGCGATATCTCCTCTCAAGCAATCGCCGACTGGCAAGGCGCACGCGATAAAGTACATCGCTGGAGACGTCGACAACAACCAGGCGGTGCTCGCTAAAGAGATCAAAGCCTACTTGTTT